TTCTTTCTGAATGTTTACACGACAAAAAAATAATTTTCGAACCAGAAACATAAAAATATACATCTAAACATTTTTGGGTAAATTAATTCTGAGTTCAATGATAAAATTATACTTAAAATTACGTTTAAAATGCTAGCCTTTTCTTTCTGAATGTTTACACGACAAAAAAATAATTTTCGAACCAGAAACATAAAAAAATACATCTAAACATTTTTGGATAGTAAATTTAATTCTTAGTTCAATGATATAAAAATACTTAAAATTACGTTTAAAATGATAGACATTTCCTATAAATGTTTTTGGCGACAAAAAATAATTTTCGAACCGGAAACCTAAAAAAATACATCTAAGCATTTTTGGATAGGAAATTAATTCTGAGTTTAATGATAAAATTATACTTAAAATTACGTTTAAATTGCTAGCCTTTTCTTTCTGAATGTTTACACGACAAAAAAATAATTTTCGAACCGGAAACATAAAAAAATACATCTAAACATTTTTGGATAGTAAATTTAATTCTTAGTTCAATGATATAAAAATACTTAAAATTACGTTTAAAATAATAGACTTTTCCCTATGAATGTTTATCGCGACAAAAAATATTTTCGAACCGGAAACCTAAAAAAATACATCTAAGCATTTTTGGATAGGAAATTAATTCTTGAGTTCAATGATAAAATTATACTTAAAATTACATTTAAAATGATAGACTTTTCCCTATGAATGTTTATCGCGACAAAAAATAATTTTCGAACCTGAAACCTAAAAAAATACATCTAAGCATTTTTGGATAGGAAATTAATTCTTAGTTCAATGATAAAATTATACTTAAAATTACGTTTAAAATGCAAGCCTTTTCTTTCTGAATGTTTACACGACAAAAAAATAATTTTTGAACCGGAAACATAAAAAAATACATCTAAACATTTTTGGATAGTAAATTTAATTCTTAGTTCAATGATATAAAAATACTTAAATTTACGTTTAAAATGATAGACATTTCCTATAAATGTTTTTGGCGACAAAAAATAATTTTCGAACCGGAAACCTAAAAAAATACAACTAAGCATTTTTGGATAGGAAATTAATTCTGAGTTCAATGATAAAATTATAATTAAAATTACGTTTAAAATGCTAGCCTTTTCCTTCTGAATGTTTTAGCGACAAAAAAATATTTTTTATACAAGAAACGTAAAAAATACATCTAAGAATTTTTGGATAGAGAATTTAATTCTGAGTTTAATAATATAAAATAAGTAAGATTACGTTTAAAATTCTAGCCTTTTCCTTCTGAATGTTTTCGCGACAAAAAAAAAAATTTTTGAACCGGAAACGTAAAAAAATACATCTAAGCATTTCTGGACAGAGGATTCAATTCTGAGTTCAATCATATAAAAATACTTAAATTACGTACAAAATATTATCATTTTCCCTTTGAATATTTTGGCGACAAAAAAAAATAAATTTCGAACCGGAAACGTAAAAAAATACATCTAAGCATTTTTGGATAGGAAATTTAATTCTGAGCTCAATGATTAAAAATACTTAACGTTTAAAATAATAGACTTTTCCCTATGAATGTTTATCGCGACAAAAAATATTTTCGAACCGGAAACCTAAAAAAATACATCTAAGCATTTTTGGATGGAAAATTTAATTCTGAGTTCAATGATGTAAAAATACTTAAAATTACGTTTAAAATATTAGCCTTTTCCTTCTGAATTTTTAGGCGACAAAAAAAAATTTTTTTTAAACCGTAAACGTAAAAAAATGCATCTAAGCCTCTTTGGATAGAAAATTTAATTCTGAGTTCAATTTAAAAATACTTAAAATTACGTTTAAAATGCTAGCCTTTTCCTTCTGAAATTTTAGGCGACAAAAAAAAAATTTTTTATACCGGAAACGTAAAAAAATACATCTAAGCATTTATGGATAGAAAATTTAATTTTGAGTTCAGTGATATAAAAATATTTGAAATTACGTTTAAAATGTTAACAAAAAAAAATATTTTTCAATATAAATTTACCATTTAATTTATATTTGTTAATTACTTCGTAATCCATAAAAATTCAAAAATTCCATATTTTGAAAATTATATTTATATAAAATCATAACGAAATATAATTTAATAAAAAATTATTTAATTTAAAACCGCAAATTTTAAAACAGAATTAATAAAAAAATTGAAAAGATCTTAAAATTTCTTATTTTTTAATATATTATAATTAATATTATTATAATATTTGGTTGGGGTTCGGTTTTCTTATGCAATGGAGGCTACAATAGCACAATATAGAATACCATGATTAAATACCATACTAGAAGTTTATATTACAACTATATATCTCTTTCTTCTAGGTTATTCAACTAATATGGTAATTGGGTGTGCCTTACGTATTGTCTATGTTATTTTTTTTAATGGGAAGTACAAATTGATGTCTTATTAAACCTTAGAAATATGCATGATCTCGATTATAACAAATTCTCTATGCTGTCTAGTTTATGGAATGTCAAACGCTCTACCTATATCAGAAGATCATGTCAATTATGTACTTCCAGCGTATACGATTTATAATTATAACATGAATTATCTTATCCTATATACATTTAAATCATGGTTCAATACATAGAGAGTAACATAGAACAGAGGTTTTTGATACTTATGAGCCTCTAATTATGGATTTGTTTCAGAACTGTAATGATCTTATCGTATACCTTTGTAAGCAAGTAGTAATTATTTAGTATTAGGTAGATTAATTTATCATATTTACACATATACCTTCTAAATGGAATGGTTACATTTTGATCTAAATTATACTTATTGAGTATATCAGTTATCAAAGTTAAGTGAGGGGTCACACAATTAGATATATTGAATATTTTATTTTTGTAAATATAAGTAATGACCCTACATCTGTAAAATCTATGTAAGGAAGTAGTAATTATTAAGTATAAGGTAGATTAATTTATCATATTTGCACTTATTCTTTCTAAACTGGAATGGTTACATTTAAGCCGTTAGCTTGCTTCCAATTTATAAAAACATAAAGCATTGTAATTATAAAACTTACTGGCTAATAAAACTATATTAGACATTCTAAATTTGAATATAAGTCTAACTCAATTTACACATAATAATAATAAAAGTTCCATTAATAAACTTCTTAAAATGAAAACCAACTACCTTATATATTGATAGTCTTCTTATATAATTATTCCATCCTTTTCGAAGATTCGTTATTTCCTTCCTCCTCTTTACCATTTCAAGTTCAATTTCAAAAACCTAACATTATATACTCATTGGATGATTATTCGATTTATTTTGCTTAACGCAAGTCTTATACCTTATTTTAAATATTATCCGAACATTATGTTATTATATTTCATTCTAGCCGAGTGAAAATTATTTATTCATACTTATTTTAGGTTTCTCTCAATACTAATTTAAAATAAAATGAAGATAGCCAATATTACCCTTCTAAATCGAATTTTATTTAATCGGGCATGGGCTTTTTACCCCTCCTTTTAATTTCCAATGGGCGTTTAAGTAAGGGGCTTTGCCTCTTGCGGACATAGGTAACTGCGGCCTCCCCAAAAAACGTGGATAGTCCTCTTAATTATTTAACTATTACCCATCTTTTATCCCAGTTAATGGGTTTTTTTCATGAGAGAATCAAGCGTTGTTCTGTTGTATATTTATCTCTGATATATATATGACATTTTAGGGCTAGTTATTATAATATTTTTCTCGTAAAGAAAGCAATAAATCAATCAAATTTCTCATTAATCATTTTCTTTGTTATATTTTATTTTCAATATTATTTTTTTAGCCTTTCATATCATGCAGCCTTTCGACTTATAGACCATCCTTATTAATGTAATTTCAAATATTATCGAAAAATGCCTAGATTTATTTTTATACGTTTTTAAAGTAATAGGAAAAATAGGGTTACTGGTAAAAAGATATTGTTTATGGTTACTAAATGTGTTTTAATTTAAAATTATACAAATTTATCTTCCTTAAATTAGCTCCGATCTTTAGGTTAAGTAAAATGGAATACGTACAAGGGAATTAGCCAATGTTAAGTAAAAGGATCATATGAATCTGTGGGATTTTTAATTTGAGGTGTAAAATTAAAAATTGTCTAAAAGGTTTTTAAATAGATAAGATAATATTTTAATTAAAAAGGTAATAAAATGTTCTGTGTAGTATATTAATTTCCTGGTAAAACTTCTAGAAAAAATGAATAAAAATTATACAAATTCGATTGATAATTAAGTTAGATTATGAGAACATTTTTTACAAGAGTAATGATTTTTAACACATGGTTTGTTAGATGAATATATAGTATTTTATTGATTAATTTTTAAAGTTGAACCCCTTTTCATAAATTACAGATTTGAAAACATTACTGGATATAAAAATTAGACCGGAATATATCAAAATATGTTATAAAAAATAATTTATATAAGTCGCCTAGAAATTATTTCTAGATTTTCAAAATTTGTTAATATTTTTGCAAATTTACCGCTTTATTGCAAACGAAAATTAAGAATCAATTAAGGTTAAATGGGCGCTCTACTAGAGGCTGTAGCTATCAAGGCTATCATAGCCTGCTTAATTAGTTATGAATTTAATTATTTGTTTAGAAATATAATTAAATCTTTCATAAAATAATTTATAAAACCGTAAGACAATGCCATATTTTTTAAGAAAATATAGGTCCGCGTTTGGTCAGGTCAAATAAAAATATTTCAACTCTAAACAATCGTAAAATATAACAAAACAAATTTATTAGTTATAAACTAAAAAATATAGAATATTTTGTATAAATACAATCAAATATAAAACAAAATTGGAAAGATATTTTATAAAATACAAAAATCAATAGAAATTTATAAATTAAAGTTGCAACATTTAATGAATTTCTGTTGAATTAAATATACTAAATAAAGGTAAATTCTTTACTCTAGCCATAAGATAAATATGACTGAAAACATTTCATTTTTATCCGAAATTTTCGAAGTGTGAAACTAATAACGGGGATTGCCGAGTTTTATTGACTTTGTCACATGCCCTCTCAATAGCACTCGTCAAAGTGATGGGTCCACAGCTAAAGACGCCAATTTTTTTACACTGAATAATTTATAAAATTTTAATACATTTTTATTTTAACTTTTAAAAGAGGATATTAATTATTATATATGTATATACTAAAATATTATTACAGACAATGTTGATTGCTGACAATACTTTACTTTTATAAATTATCTGAAATTTATAGTGTAGATATTATTACAGTTACCGCGAATTCAAATTGAAAAATATTTAGAGTTGAAAATAATCATACATTTAAGCGCTTTATAAATTTGAAAAATCAGATTTTGCCGGTGTAACGTGATATTTTTAACTTAAATTTAAATTAACTCCCTTTAGTAATACTGACATTTATGATTGTCGTTATAATATATTTTAATAATATCATTATAAAATTTAGTAATACTGACATTTATGACTGACATATAATGTTAAAAGTTCTGACATTAATGACTGACATGTAATGTTAAAAGTTTCTAATTAGTAATACTGACATGTAATGTTAAAAGTTTCTATTATTTAGTAATACTAACGTATAATGTTAAAAGTTTATATATAGCAATATTGATATGACAGGTGATGCTTAAAGTTTATATGTTTAGCTATATTGACGCTTATGAGTGACAGATAATTAAAATTTTCTAATATTGAAATTTATGAGACAGATAATATTATAATTTCTGATATTTTGTTATATAACATCTAAGTTTTATTTTCAACCTTTTCGGATACCAACTTTATACAAACTAGATTAATAAAATTAAAATTTGATTCAAAATTTAATTTCGAAAATCAAAATTTAATTTCGAAAATCAAATTTAATATCAAAAATTATATTTACAAGAATTTCAGTAAATTGCATGATCATATAACTCTCCCTATAAATTTACATTATAATTAAGATCTCTTAACACTATTTATCAAAGGGTATCTTAACTCAGAGGTATGTGATAAGGGGAGTTAATGTATCACGCTACACCGGCAATGTAATCCATTATGTCTAGGCCTGAGCTGACTGGTACAAGGGTAAGTGAATAAAGTGCCCACTGGGCCTCAACAAAATAGATATTTTGGGGCCAAATAGAAAAAAAAGATTGCTAATACGAATTTCTGAAGAATTAAACATGCAACATTTTATAGGGTTAGCCAAATATTGTTTAATTAGTTTATATTTAAAAAATGGGTTTACACGTAGATTTTAATAAAATTCGTTGTCTAAGTTGCAATATGTTATCTCGATGACGCGCAATATCATTACCCAAACATTATTACCTCTGCCCAAGTCGTATTCACTTATTTTATTATATATAATGAAAATAAAACTAAGGCGTTTCACTTTAAAGAAAGTAACTAAAAAAGTTAACGGTTACGTTACTGTTATTCATAACATGTAACTCTACAAAAGCTCTTTGTTAGATTAAAAAATTACTAATCATTCAATTTATTGCAAGTCAAAATAATAAAAGGCAGTATAAACTATACACACACATTAGTTTTCATAGAAATCAATAACAACAATAAAATATTATAATTTTAAGCATTTGATAAAAGAACTAATTTTCCACCATAAATCATCTTCTATTTGGTTTATTAATCAAGTTAGCAAAAGAAAAAAGAAGTTCCATAGAAGCGGAGGATGGTAAATTAGTATTATAAAGAAAAAAAATTTCTTTATTATTGGATATTTATGAAAGTATGTATTAATTTTGAATGATGGATCATTAGATAGAAAATTATAATAATCTCTAAATCATTTGAATTCTTAGTAGACCCCCAACTCTGGAAATAAAATAAGACTGGGCCTAGAAATTAGGAGTTCTAATGTCTAAGGATATTGCAGTTGCCATCAAAAGGTTTATTTAGTTTTTTTATAATCAGAAAATATTAAATTTATTCTTTATAACTTAATTAACTAATGATAATAAATACAACAATATACTATTTTAAGTTTATAATATTTATCAACATATTTAAAATGATAATCATTTTGACTATACCTATATTATTAATATTATACATTATTTTAGTTAATGTGAATAATATTTATTTATCAAGAATGTTGATATAAATTCTAACATTAAGAACTTGTTTCTCATCGAAAATTTATAGTCTTTCATATTAAATTCATATTCTTCTATATTTTTCTTATCAACTATAATACTTTCTTCCATATTTTCGTCTACCATGCTGTAGATTTTTATCAATTTAGGGTGTAGTAAATGAATTTTAAAGGTAATGAAAAGCAAAAGTTATGTTAAGTTACTCAAAAAAATATAACGGTTACAAAACGCTTCGTTTTATTTTCAAATTGATAGAAATATATGAGTGTGAAATATATATTAAAATATATAATATTGTAATACGAATAGTAACTTTATTTAATTGGTTGCAATGTAAATTAACCTATCGTTAGACAGGTTTATCAAAATATATAAGATAAAAACCAAGTAAGCAAATAGAAGTATATAAATGAATTCCCCCTCTATAAAAATAAGACCTTTAGGATTTCTCCACTAGACCGGAGTCTAACAGTCCACTCGTGTTTAACCTATCCTATAATTTAGACATTCTTGCCATAAATCTTTGAATCCTTTATTAGTTTATAAACTTTATAGTTTATTTACATAGTCTGATATCAACATTGCCTGCAATATATAAATGGAAATATAGAATAATGCACAAAATTATTCTTAAAAATCATTGCCCGTAATTTACTTACAAAGTATGTTCATGAAAAAAAAAATGATCTAAAAAATGGAAATAAATATAATTATGAAGCATATTATAAATTTATAATGTAGGTCTTGTCACCTGGCTTAGACGGGTATGAACCATATTAATTATATATTAGAAAAAAATAATGATAGATATAACTAACTTTTTTGTGTCTACCTTGTATGAAGCGCATAATTTTCTCGAATTCCGGCCTTCCAAAATGATTATGAGCTTTAACACCTGTGAGCAGACTTTTGTGGGCGATATTTTGAAAATATTTGTCACATATGTACTATTAAAGTTATTAAAAAGATATAATATTTTTACATGAAATAATCATAATGACGAAAATATACTTAAGTTATATTTATATAAATATAAATCATACTAGCATGGTAGTTCTAAGATCATATTTATCGAAGTATTGAGTTATAAAAATGTGAATTTCAATGATATCATTTGTGTCCTTTTCTTTAATCTCTTGTAACAAATTAACTAACCATTCGTAACTTTTATGAGATGGACAAACCCACAAAAAATAAACCTTTTTTTGTCATAAATAAACAGATATAAATTAATTTGATTTAGGTAAACAAGATATTTATATATGTTACCGACAATGTGCATAGGAAATAGGTGTAAATAATATTCTAAAACATCTGAAATTTATAGGGCAGGTAATTACCCAAGCTGAAATATTTTTCCGGCAAAATCCAATTTATCAAATATAAAAAACGCTATAAATAAATTATTTAAAGTTGGAAAATAACAAAACAATTTGTTGAAGGCGTTTTGGGGATCTGATTTTGTCTAAAATGTGTACTAGTATGAATAAAATACCTGTCTTATAAATTTCAAATAATTTTTAGAAATTTTTGAGTTCTTAATTAAAATTTATGTTAAAATTACATAGAATGATTGAAATATTAACCAAGCACAATTCACATATTGCCTGAATATGCACATAGACGATAACATATACTGCTTTAAATCAAATTAGATTGGCATAAATTTTCATAGCTATAAATTTCTATAACTTTTCCAGAGAATAATGTGAGAAGGTCTTAAGTTAAAATATAAAAACATGCCCTGTATATTAAGGATTAAATCAATAAATGATATCAATAATTATAAAGACATTTATTTTATTAAATAGTTTACAAATCAAAATGAATGTCATTCAACATTCGTGAATCGAATATCACTACTTAAATTCATAAATTTTTCAGATAGGTTAAAGGTTTAAATCAGTTTTCATATTTAATATTATAAACTAATGTTTTGTGTTCAAAATCAAAAATTTAGTTACATCTCAATTAAATAATCCGCTTAAGCAATTCCTTTGAATAAAAAAAAATCAAATTAATAAAGATAAGTTCTATGATTAAAGTGTCTAAAATATGGTCGAGTAGGCTGAAACTATTTGTGATATCCCATACAGATCAAAAAATACTCAATCTAACAATTCTCCCACCAAAATAGATAGGAAATATTTTACAACTCAACAAGATTTGAAATGTTTGAAAAAATGACGAAAAATAGGCATAAATGTGCCCGCGGTATATTTCCGAATTGAATTCAATGCTAAAACAATCATTTTATTATTACTTGCAATAAAAAAAATTTATACTTTAAAGGTAATTAAATTTAATATCTTAAAAAATCTTTTGTTCTGTCATTTTTGGGAAGAAAAATCGGACTCAAAAGAACATAAATTCTGGAATATGCAGATATTTTTTAGTGATATAAACAGATTTGCTCTTGAGTACTCAATTGTAAAGAATTTTGCAATTAAAGTCATTTGAAGCATAACTGCCTTAAAGGAAATCTCTAACTCCTAAAAAATGTTATGTTATGGGGTTGTATGATGAAAAAAGGTTTAGATAGTTTTTCTGAAGGAATTATTCACTCAGCTAAATATCAAGATATTTTATAGGACTTCATTGATTTGACAAATTTATTGTTTTTCCAAAGGCCATTTTATTTTTCCATAAGACAATGCGCCATAATAATTTAAAATCGACTAAAAAATTTTGTTAGATAACGGTTGGGATTTACTAGAGTGGTTTGCATCATGCATCACGCTTTTAAACTTCATTAAAAAATATCTATGCTTTTTTAAAGAAAAGACCCAGAAAAAAGTAAACCTTCAGGAATTTTAAACAATCATTAGCGAAAATCTTGACAGCAGGAACTTAATCAGACGGAATTTTCTAAAAAGGTATGAACTTGCCCCGGGTTCAATGGGTTGCCCATAAATCGGGTTTAGTCTGAGGTCTCAAAATGAAAAACAAACAATTTTAGATGGTTTACAACCCTGCTAAAAACAAATGAATTTGATGGGAAAAAAAATCTGCCTAAATGAATTAAACCTATCACTAGCATTAAAGCCATACCTAATCGAGTATCAGAGCTGAAATGGCCACTATTTTGATTTTCGAACATTAATGTTCATTTTGATTTAAATATTATACATTTCATTGTATCATAAGAAACAAGAAAATAACAATTTATATTTTGTGTTTTGGATTAAATTTTATTTCTACTTTTAAAAATCAAATAATAATAATGATAATATGTATAATAATCAACTGGTATATATACTAAAACATTTCAATCAACTGGTATATGTAACAAAACATTTAAATTAATACTCAATAAATTATTTCACAAATTTGAATAAACAACACAATTAACATTCCCCTCCTCGACAAAGCATTAAGTTGTTGCTCGGTGGGCGCATAAGTCTGTCTGAGTCGCGTGAGTCCATACGTTTTCGTACTAAAATTGATGTACGTTATCATAATCATAAGGAATAATTGATCAAATTTGAATATATGGAATACGGAATAAAATTTTAAATTTAGAAAAAAAAAAGAATTTGGAATAAAAATTTTGGAATATGGAATGATAAATATGTAGAATTCCGTAAGAATGATATTATATAAAATTTCGAGTTTTATTTTAAATTTTGTGTAGCGTTTTAATATTTTATTTGTAGCGTTTTAATATTTAATTTATTTTTATTTATTTTCAATCTCCGAGGTTAAAATATGCAAATATTATGCACATTTCCCTCTCTTAAAAAAAATTTAAATTTCACACAATATTTTTCTAAAATAATTATGTTTAATTTTTACATAACTTTTTGTCTTCAAAAGCTTTATTTCAAAAACATTTTTATCATATTAAGTATTACTTATAAGGGTTATTTAAATCAATCATGTGATTTAAACCTTTTAATTTATGTTTTAATTACATTTTAATATATTTAAAATTAAAGTTTTATCTTCTTGTTTAGGATTTTTAATGGTTTATTTTTAATATATCTAAAAATTCATCTTTAGGTTTAGTTAATTTACAACAATTGGTAATCATACAAGAAATCAAAAAAATATCAATATTTCACTAAGAAATTAAGTAAATAATTTTTTTAAGGCTTTTTATGTGTTCAAATATGTCCATTATTGATTTACATTTAAGTTATTTTAATAAGTAAATTTACAACATGCCTTTATCTCGGCATAAAATTTTAATTTATAATAACTTTTCTTCTTACGTGGATTAGAATAATAAGTAATCATCATTGGTCTCACAATATAGAATTCATATAACGTCCAACTTCCATATTGGTTCTTTCTAGGTTGTCACATTAGGTTAGGTGCTGGTTATCATATTCCACTCCAACATCCAGAGCCAGGACACCATGAAGAAGGAAGCTTTTTGCATGAAAGAACGTGCTAAGGTATGATTATTGGTCATATATATAGATAAGGTAGTCATCTCAATAGGTAGTCATCTCAATAGGTAGTCATCTCAATAGGTTAAGCAGTTATCACAATAGGTAGTCATCACAATAGGTAGTCATCACAATAGGTAGTCAAATCAATAGATAAGGTAGTCATCTCAATAGGTAGTCATCTTAATATGTTAAGCAGTTATCACAATAGGTAGTCATCACAATAGGTAGTCATATCAATAGATAAGGTAGTCATCTCAATAGGTAGTCATCTCCATAGGTTAAGCAGTCATCACAATAGGTAGTCATCACAATAGGTAGTCATATCAATAGATAAGGTAGTCATCTCAATAGATTAAGCAATCATCACGATAGGTAGTCATCACAATAGGTAGTCATATCAATAGATAAGGTAGTCATCTCAATAGGTAGCTCACTTTTGTATATGTATATATCAGAATAATATTTGACTTATATATTTTTTTTTTAAAAAACAAGTCATGTCCTACGAATTTAATTTAATTTTTACTTTTTTTAAATTTTAGGCAAATTTTATATATTTTCTTCTTTTTTTTTTTTACAAAAACGTAACGGGGCGCCATGAAAGAAACACGTTATTTTTTGTGTTTTAAATAAACTTTATTTCTACTTTTAAAAATCAAATAATAATAATAATAATATGTATAATAATCAACTGGTATATATACTAAAACATTTCAATCAACTGGTATATGTAACAAAACATTTAAATTAATACTCAATAAATTATTTCACAAATTTGAATAAACAACACAATTAACATTTCCCTCTTCGACAAAGTAATTGAGATGACTTGTTTCTATTATGGCGCCCCGGTACGTTTTTGTAAAAAAAAAAAGAAGAAAATATATAAAATTTGCCTAAAATTAAAAAAAAAGTAAAAATTAAATTAAATTCGAAGGACATGACTTGTTTTTTAAAAAAATATATATATAGTCAAATATTATTCACTACCTTATCTATTGATATGACTACCTATTGTGATGACTACCTATTGTGATGACTACCTATTGTGATGACTACCTATTGTGATGACTACCTATTGTGATGACTACCTATTGTGATGACTACCTATTGTGATGACTACCTATTGTGATGACTACCTATTGTGATGACTACCCATTGTGATGACTACCTATTGTGATGACTACCTATTGTGATGACTACCTATTGTGATGACTACCTATTGTGATGACTACCTATTGTGATGACTACCTATTGTGATGACTGCTTAATCTATGGAGATGACTGCTTAACCTATGGAGATGACTACCTATTGAGATGACTACCTTATCTATTGTGACTGCCTAATCTATTGATATGACCAATGCCTAATCTACTGAGATGACTATCTAATCTATGGAGATGACCAAGAATCAAACCTTAGCACGTTCTTTCATGCAAAAAGCTTCTATCTTCATGGTGTCCTGGCTCTGGATGTTGGACTGAATAGGATAACCAGCACCTAACCTAATGTGACAACCTAGAAAGAACCAATATGGAAGTTGGACGTTAGGTTATGAATTCTATATTGTGAGACCAATGATGATTACTTATTATTCTAATCCACGTAAGAAGAAAAGTTATTATAAATTAAAATTTTATGCCAGATAAAGGCATGTTGTAAATTTACTTATTAAAATAACTTAAATGTAAATCAATAATGGACATATTTGAACACATAAAAAGCCTTAAAAAAATTATTTACTTAATTTCTTAGTGAAATATTGATATTTTTTTGATTTCTTGTATGATGACCAATTGTTGTAAATTAACTAAACCCAAAGATGAATTTTTAGATATAATTAAAAATAAACCATTAAATATCCTAAACAAGAAGATAAAACTTTAATTTTAAATATATTAAAATGTAATTAAAACATGAATTAAAAGGTTTAGATCACATGATTGATTTAAATAACTCTTATAAGTAATACTTAATATGATAACAATGTTTTTGAAATAAAGCTTTTGAAGACAAGTTATGTAACATCTTCATTTTAGATAAGTATTTAAATGATGTGATGAGATCATTTTCTAAAAATTATCTTATGAAGAATTTTTATTAAAAATAACACTTTTTGAATTAAAACTAGGGTGTGAAATTTAAATTTCTTATTTAAAGAGAGGGAAATGTGAATAATATTTTATTTGCATATTTAAACCTCGGAGATTGAAAATAAATAAAAATAAATAAAATATTAAAACGCAACTTAAATTATTAAAATAAAATATTAAATCGCTACAAATAAAATATTAAAACGCTACTTAAATTATTAAAATAAAATATATAAAATGCAAAATTTAAAAAAAAACGCGAAATTTTATATAATCTTTTTTGATTTATCATTCTTACGGAATTCTACATATTTATCATTCCATACTCCAAAATTTTTATTCCAAATTCTTTTTTTCCAAATTTAAAATTTTATTCCGTATTCCATATATTCAAATTTGATCAATTATTCCTTATGATAATGATAACGTACAACAATTTTAACAAACCTACGAAAACGTATGGACTCACGTGACTCAGACAGACTTATGCGCCCACCGAGCAGCAACTTAATGCTTTGTCGAGGAGGGGAATGTTAAATGTGTTGTTTATTCAAATTTGTGAAATAATTTATTGAGTATTAATTTAAATGTTTTGACAAGAAAAGTACAAGTTATATTTTGTGTTTTGGGTTAAATTTTATTTCTACTTTTAAAAATCAAATAATAATAATGATAATATGTATAATAATCAACTGGTATATATACTAAAACATTTCAATCAACTGGTATATGTAACAACATTTAAATTAATACTCAATAAATTATTTCACAAATTTGAATAAACAACACAATTAACAATATCTCATATGATTTTTGATCAATATTAATTAAACTATCATTTTCTAGCCTAATAAAGTATTTTAATGGAAGAAATTTTGCATTAAAAAATAATTTGCTGAATTTATTTAATCCACTTTTTTAATATGATTCAGAGTATATTTTTTTTAATAAAGAAAATAAATGACTATTTTTATACCTTTTTACAAATTATACTATGATCTTTGTTAACATAAAATATGTTAACTAAATCTTTAAGGATGGATGCATAAGGGGTGACTCCAATACCACCGCCTATCATTACGGCTATTTCATGCTTTGGCCAATTTTGATTGCCATCCCCATAGGGGCCATCTATATAAACCTTAATGATTTTTTTAAGAATTTATGAATTTATGGGAAAGTTGGTTAACACATTTTTAAATTTAAAAAATAATTTCACCTTTGTGTTTTTAAACGGTTCAATTTGAGCCGATTTTAAAAAACGGCTAACTTAATATTTATCAAAAAAAATATTAAGCAAGTCTGAAGATTTTGGTCATAGATGGCACAAAGGTTTGGACATCTATTAGCGAAATCTTGAGGTTTAGGGAATTTTCCTGGCTAAAATATTGAGTTAGCCTTTTAAAAATTGGCTCAAATCGAGCTGTTTAACAACATTCACATTTAAGTATATTACCCTTGGAAAACTGGATCCTTGTAGATTATTTGGATCATAAAGATTTCTAACTTTCCAAGTCCACCGCCCTAAAGCTTTTATATGCAATGATAAAATGTCCTCGTGAGGGGCAGACGTTAATGTGAAGGCGTGATACTCTCCAGGATTTATGTCGGGAATGGATATTTGAACCCATTGTCCAGATTTATAAGTGAAAGAATGTGGCCTATTCAAAACTATCTTGGTGACATCTGTTGTAAATAATAATTTATAAGATAATATATCATTAATTTATAACTTTCTTAACTTGTCATTTAGGGTAAAACTATTATAAATATAAAAGTAACACCAAATCTCATAAAAACACCTCTATTTAAAATTATATGTTTAACCTGATGGCATCAATGTGGCTTTGATAACGGCCATCTCCAAATGTTTCCTATTCAAACTTATGAGTTTATCTATCATATACAATATAGCTGGAACCACTAAATATAAGTGAAAAGTGGGCGATGACGTAAGTCTTGCCGCACCGTGAAAAATATTCAACACGAAAAATGGCACAAAAAGTTTATGAGTTGCCCAAAAATATCGGTAGGCTTTCTGTCGCACTATTTCATGTGCAAATACATACATAATGACTGTAATTATGGTCAATATAATTCCTGTAATACCCGTGATAGTTTGAAACGCCCAAAAGCTAAAAGGTGGAGGGATATTGTTACCCTTGAAAAACATCTAGATAATTTTAAAATATTATAATAAATATACAAACGAGCTTTTGATTAATCTTGCAAGGTTGGCCCAATCCTTGCAAGTCATGACCTCATTATGGCTTGTGGGTAGAAAAAATATTAATGTTATATTTCTTTCCATTCTTCCCATTTGGCCTGATTGAGTATCACAATTATAAAATTGATTTTGATAAATCATTAGATTATCCGAAAATTATTGCTGAATATTTAAATTTAATGCATAATATTAGGAAAAGAATAAAATAAATGGTTTGAAATTTCCTAATCAAATTTATAAAAGGTCGGATGGACCGGACATGAACATGGGATCCCTGGAGAGCTCGGGCCAGAAACTTAATAGCACCTTTATTATGTAAAATTGTTAAACTAACTCTCTATTGAGAAAAATTGTTACATATAAAGATATAATATTTAATTTTTTTTAAAAGCATTACTTCTTTAAATAGACACTTGAGATGTTCAAGTGGCTGAGTGGAAACGTGATACAAATTGACCAAATGCCCGGCACAATGAATAACTACAAATATAATTCCGGTGTAGGCACATAGCTTGTGAAAGGCTAGGGCAGAGTCGAGAGGCAAGTAATTTTTGACCTTAGTTTCTCTCAATTTAGTAATTAAATGTCGACATACTGTTAATAGCAATACACAATAAACGAAGGATATTACGTTAGCCGATGCCCGAGACACACATATACCCGCTCCCATTACTCTCCTAAGATCAGTGTGCTCCAATAATAGACAAAATCCTGTTTAAAATTTTTTTTATCATGATAATCATTTATCTGTTTTAAAAATAAATATATTTACTTACTTAACATTTTATCGGCAAAAAGCCCTGTCACAATGGCATAGAAAATTATAAGATAAAATATATTTTGGCGATTTTCTTCTATGTAGTTTGCTAATGCATCATATTTTTTGGCGAAGTAATTTCTTTCAAAATTTGAAATATTTTTTTCTAAGCTAAAGCTCTCGTGTCTTGAAAATAAAAATATCAAGTTTATATAAAACTTAAAATTAACGTTCAATACCTGTGTTTTGTCTTTTTCCCAAATATTTTTCCAGCTCCCTTAAAATGTATTCCACAGTTAGACCATTCTAATTCGTGATGCGACATAAGATGAACAAAGTCTTGACATTTTAACACATCTTTATTTTCGAAGCCCGTTTGAGCCATCATAGCAGTTAAGCATGATTCAATCTCAGTATCATTGGCTTGCTCGCATTCAATAAAGCTCCTATCAAAAATATAACTTTAATTAATGATAACTAAGATCAATATAAATATTTTTATTAAAATATAGGAATACAACAAAATAAATACAATTAAGGGTTATAACTTGAGCAAAGAAAAGAATTGACTTCTTGACAATTCTCCTTTTTGATGTATATCAAACATATCGAACATAATCCTCAATTTTTGATCAGGAGTGCCTATTTTTATATAATAGTCATCATTTTAAAATATTTAAGCATTATTAATTTGGCTCTTTATATCGTAGGGGATAGACTTATAAAAGGGTAGGGAAAAAATGTTTTAAGAGGGAAAATCTCTACATCCAACCCAAAATTATTTTCTATATGAATGCTCTGATTATAATAAAATCTTAATTTTTGAAAATTGTAATTTTCTTTTGTAACTTACCATTAGCGAAAACGTAAGTCATATTTAAAAAATCTTGAAAGCATATATTTCCCGTATGTCTCTTATCAATAACCGCAAACATTCTCTCCACAAACATGGAAGTTGGTTTCATGCCCAGGGCGTCAGCAAATTCGTATTTGTTTAATTTGGAATTCATTATGTTTTGTCCCTTAAAATCTTCTTTGTAGGTATTTTGGGGATAATTATGATTGTATTGTTCTGGATTATCGGAGTTTTGTTCTTCCAATATCTGAAATGTCTAAATAATTTTTTTTTAAAAAATTAAGAATGCTGAATTCTATATAAAATTCTTATTTTCTATTTCAATTATATATGTCCTTGGAATTAAAAAATTAGGCATTGCTTGTCCCATATAACTTATTCCAGTGAAGATCAAAGACAGGACCGAACCTTTTTTTTTAAAGTAGGCTTTTGTCTCCTTCTTACATTTTCCCCAGTCCTATCACAATTAGGAGCCACTTTATGGAATTCGAGGTTATGTTTTGGTAAATATAATACATTTTATAGGTGTTTAAAATAGCAAAACAAATTACCTTAAGGAATCAAGAAAATAAGAAAAAGTGGACATTATTATTGAAAAAATATTTAAGCCATTTGTATTTCATTCAGACTGAAAAATAATTAAAATTAGACACATATCTCATAATACCCTATTTAAATATATATATATGAATATGTCTTATTAAGGAATACATGAGGATACGGCCATGGACCCGGAGCGAACCGTAACGATCCGCGAAACCGTTATAAACCCTTATAAATATCTGAACCTTAACCGTAACCGAACAGTTATAATTATTTTTTAAAGGAGTGAAAAGAACCATTATAAAAAAACGTTAAACCGGTTTATACCGGTTTAAAGCAAAATAAAATTTATAATTCTAATTTATTACATTATTTTCCTTGTGGTGTAATTATATATTTAACCATATTTCCGTCGTTATTTATAATTTTAATTATTAAATGATCAAAATATATGTGTGATCTGATATCCTTATATCCTTAATAAAGTATGTATTAATTTTTTAACTATTACATAAATTTATCCGCCATCTTTTAATTATGCAAAATATCTAAATAAACAATTTGTAGATTTTTGATTTAGTTGTGTTTATTAAATTAATTTAAGTATAATATCAGGCCTTTAATATAAATAATAAATTTGTGTTACAATATAAATTCTATTTTATCAAATAATTTTAATATATTATATTTGTCTGACCTCATTTTTTGTATTTACAGGGTTTCCCATTCAAAAAAGGAAAAGTCCCAATCAAAAAAGGAAAAGTTTCAATCATAAAAGGAAAAGGTCCGATCAAAAAAGGAAAAGGTCCGATCAAAAAAGGAAAAGTATCAAACAAAAAAGGAAAAGGTTCAATCAAAAAAGGAAAAGTGTCAAACAAAAAAGGTAAAGGCCCAATCAAAAAAGGAAAAGTGTCAATCGAAAAAGGAAAATTCCCAAAAGAAAAGGAAAATGGTCAAACAAAAAAGGTAAAGGTCCAATCAAAAAAGGAAAAGTGTCAATCGAAAAAGGAAAATTCCCAAAAGAAAAGGAAAATGGTCAATCAAAAAAGGAAAATTCCCATTCAAAAAAGGAAAATCGTTATTTTTTTAAATTTTTTTTAAAAAAATTATAAATTTTTCTAATTTTTCTTAAATGTTTATTTATTTTTATCATTCCTTCTTATTTTATTTCTAACTTTTTGCGATTTCTTAACATTATTTGTATCTTTTCTCAATTAATTTTTCTTACTATATTTTTTCTCAATTTTTTTTCTTCTCATTTTTGATAATTCTTTTGTATTTTTAAAAATAATTTATAAATTTAGGTCCATTTTTTAACAATTCTTTACTTTTTTTTTCATCATACATATGTCGTAATTTATTAAGGGATCATAACTATCCGGGATCTTCACGGGATTCAAAGGGATCCCTTTAAAATTACAATTTTTTAAAGGATAAATAACTATACGTTATTATCACGTTTGAACCATGATATAGAAGAATCTTATTTTTAAAAGCGTTTTCCGCGCGGTTCGTTTCGTTTTTTAATTTTATTGTTATTCGTTAATTTTTAATGTTGTTTTTTTTGGCCTTATGAAATATGATATGTCAAATATAGGGTATCAATCGATAGCTAATCAAAAGATCTATTCAACTGGAAGTCAATCTCTCCCCCATAATGGGCTGGGCTAGTTCTTAAGAGGGGGGGGGGGTGAGAAATATTTTTATCAACACAAAATATCGATATGGGTATCAAATAAAAGCTAATTTTAATATGGTTTGACTGAAAATCTTCATTCTTAGTCTGGATGGGTATGACTTGGTCTGGAGGGGGGGGTGGGGGTTGGGGTAGAGGGGGGTGTAAAAAAAAATTTTTTGATCAAAAATATAGCATCATGTTTTAAAGTAAGCTATAAGACAGTTACAAATATTAAATATTCTCATCTCAAAAATGGAATAAAATATAGCTTGCCCAAAGGAGGTTCACGTGCACGCAAGAAATTAAATCAAGAGCAGGAAGAATATATATTGAATTGTATATATTTGGATTGCATTTTATCCTTAAAAAGGTTATGTGAAATGATTAAAGAAAGATATGATGTGGAAATATCAAAAAATACGGTATCAAGGTTACTCTCAGGATTTAGGTACAGCTTTAAAAGAGTATCACTACGTTCAGTTAGAGAAAATAACGAATCAAATATAGAGATTCACAAAGAATACGCGAATTGGTTTGTAGATGTATCATATATGAAAGAAAAATTTATATTTATTGATGAGAGCGGGTTTTCAATATCAATAAGGCAATTATATGGATATTCACAAATAAATAAAAAGGCAATTAAAAATGTTCAAGGGATAAAGACAATAAATTATACTATCATTGCGGCTCTCACAATTGCAGGAATATTTAGATTCGAATTTCTTGATGGCCCTTGCAATGCTATATATTTTAGAAACTTTATAAATGAATATTAAATCATTTTGAAGAATCTAACATGATTAATATGATTTTTGGGATGGATAATGTTCCATTCCATCACAATCATTCAATTAGGGAATCGATCGAAGGAAAAGGACATACATTGAAATATTTACCATCCTACAGTACGTTATTGAGAATGTGTTTTTTTAATGGAAGGATTTGATCAGAAATAAAAATCCTAGTAACGAGGAAGAATTAATTCGTTTCATAGAACATGGAGAAAGAGGAATATCTGAGCAAAATACCAAAAATTATTTTAGAAATATGGAGACCTATATTCCAAAATGTAGAAGGGGAGAAATTATTAATGATTAATATAAATTTTTGTTTCTTACTATATTAAATATATATCGTAATTGTAATTAAATAATTTGATATGTAAAAAATTATAATAAAAAAGTTGTCTACCAAAAATTTAGTGAAAATTAAATATACTTAAAAGAATTATCAAAAATGAGAAGAAAAAAAATTGAGAAAAGATATATTAAGAAAAATAAATTGAGAAAAAATACAAATAAAGTAAAAAATCGCAAAAAGTTAGAAATAAAATAAGAAGGAATGACAAAAATAAATAAAATTTAAGAAAAATTGAAAAATTTATAATTTTTTAAAATTACGATTTACCTTTTTTGAATGAGAATTTTCCTTTTTTGATTGACACTTTTCCTTTTCTTTTGGGAATTTTCCTTTTTCGATTGACACTTTTCCTTTTTTGATTGGACCTTTTCCTTTTTTGTTTGACACTTTTCCTTTTTTGATTGAACCTTTTCCTTTTTTGTTTGACACTTTTCCTTTTTTGTTTGACACTTTTCCTTTTTTGTTTGACACTTTTCCTTTTTTGATCGGACTTTTTCCTTTCTTTTTGGGAATTTTACTTTTTGAATGGAAATTTTCCTTTTAAGATTGAAACTTTTCCTTTTTTGATTGGACCTTCTTTTTTTTGAATGGGAAACCTTGTGTGTCGAGGGCCTGGCAGTCATACCCATCTAGACAAAAAATGAATAATTTCAATATAAAGATATTTAAATTAGATTTTATTTGATAACCATTTCGATATTTTGTGGTGATAAAAATATTCCTGACCCCCCAAGACCTAGACCCGCTCTCTATGAGTGATTATTATTTACAATAAAAAAATATTTTTATTAGCTTTTATTTGATAACAATATCAAAAAAAATTATTTTTTACACCCCCCCCCTCTATCCCTACCCCCCAGACCAAGTCATACCCATCCAGACCAAGAATAAAGACTTTCAGTCAAACGATATGAAAATTAGCTTTTATTTGATACCCATATCAAAAAAATTTATTTTTTACACCCTCCCCCTCCATACACCCCCCACCCTCAGACCAAGTCATGCCCATCCAGACCTTTCAGTCAAAATTAAAATTAGCTTTTATTTGATACCCATATCGATATTTTGTGTTGATAAAAATATTTCTCACCCCCCCCCCCTTAAGAACTAGACCAGCCCATTATGGGGGAGAGATTGACTTCCAGTTGAATATATCTTTTGATTAGCTATCGATTGATACCCTATATTAGACATATCTTATTTCATAAGGCCAAAAAAAACAACATTAAAAATTAATGAATAATAATAAAATTAAAAAACGAAAACAAACCGCGTGGAAAACGCTTTTTTTAAAAAAATTCTTCTATATCATGGTTCAAACGTGATAATGACGTATAGTTCTTTATCCTTTAAAAAATTGTAATTTTAAAGGGATACCTTTAAATCCCGTGAAGATCCCTGATAGATATGGTCCCTTTATAAATTATGACATATGTATGATGAAAAAAACGTAAAGAATTGTTAAAAAATGGACCTAAATTTATAAATTATTTTTAAAAATACAAAAGAATTATCAAAAATGAGAAGAAAAAATATAAGAAATATAAATTGGAAAAGATACAAATAAAGTAAAGAAATCTTAAAAAGTTAGAAAAAAATAAGAAGAAATGACAAAAATAAATAAAAATTTTAAAAAAATTAAAAAAATTACGATTTTCCTTTTTTGAATGGGAATTTTCCTTTTTTGATTGACACTTTTCCTTTTCTTTTAAAATTTTCCTTTTTTGATCGGAATTTTTCCTTTCTTTTTGGGAATTTTCCTTTTTTGATTGACACTTATCCTTTTTTGTTTGGACCTTTTCCTTTTATGATTGAAACATTTCCTTTTTTGATTGGGAATTTTGCTTTTTTGAATGGGAAACCCTGTATTTCTTATAGTATTAGAACCATTTTCCTATTTATTATGTTTTAGTATGCAAAATATCAAAATAGCCAATTTGATTTAGTTGCATTTATTTAATTAATTATAATATCACCACCCATCCTTGAATATGATAGTAGGCTATTTTTTAAATTTCAAAATTACCAAATTTATGAAGTTTTAATTTTATATATTATTTATAAAATTTTGGCATTTGAGTATATTTTAAAGCATTAGTTTTCTTAGAGGAATAGTAAATTTTTAAGTAATAATATCCATATTATTTGGCTTTACAACTTGGGAGTATTATCAATTTCAATATTACAATATGTTTGCACAAATCTCATTTTTTTATTATATTTACGTTAATAATTACTAAAAATTTACTTTATTTGCTTTTAGAAATATAGTCCGTCCCAAAAAATTTTTAGTTATAATATTCTCTTAAATGAATCAACCCATATAATAGATAATTGAATAATGATAATCAAAGGTGACCAGGCAGCTAATTTAGAAAGGCATATTCAAAGGCATCATTCTAAAGAATATGAACCCATAACTACAAAAAAAATAAAGCTTTCCAAGCCTTCGAAATCAATATCAAAGCCTAGCCATAATATTTCTATTGAGCAAGCATTAAATTCTCTTATCAAAATTAAAATGGATAAAAACACATTAGTAAATTCGTGCACAGAACTTATTACTGTACATGGCCGGCCTTTAGCTTATTAGATGATTTAGCTTTTAAAAAAATTATCAACCCAATTATAACAGGACTTGGGGATAATTTTTTCTATAAATTCAGAAAATATAAGGAATAATATTAATAAAATGGCCAGCAAATGCCTTGCTAATATAAAAAAAAGAAATATTCAATAAAATGATTTCTGTAAAATTAGATATTGCAACAAGGTGTGACAGAGCTATTCTAGGCGTCAATATTCAATTTATATCTGATGGAAAAATACAATTACGATCAATATGCATGAGAGAACTTACTGAAAAGCATACCTCGAAAAATATCAAAAAAGTTATTTTAGAAATATTTAAAACACACAACATAGATATTAACAAGATATATCGCATAACTACTGATAATGCATTCAATATAGTTAAGTTAATCAAGCTATTAATGGAGCATGAAGATATTGACGACAAAGATATGATGTTATCTCATGAGAATAATTTATCAAATATTAGTAATATCGACGACATTGATGAAACTGATAATATTATATTAAGGATGACTGGAGCCTTCTTAGTTGGAGTTCGATGCGCCTCCCACACATTTCATTTGGCGATAAATGATTGCATCAAATTGTCACCTAATGAATTATTGATTATTAACAAAGCCAGATCATTGTGCAAAAAAATTCGCACACATATTTCATTAAATATCTTAACCCGTCTAAATCTTAAAACGCCCCTTATAGATTGCTGTACCAGGTGGAATTCCATCTATCTAATGCTTCTTTTATATTGACAAAAATTCTTCAAACTGAACAATTAACATTGGGCGATTTTTATGCTGCTTGGATAAATTGTCTAATAGAAACATAAAAGGTACAAACACCTTTTTCTCAGCACCTTTCAACATGTATCAAGGCAAGAGAGGCGAATATTAGAAATGATGCCTTTTGTGCAGCCTTATATATGGATCCACGTTATCAGATATTGCTGACAGAAGATGAAAAATTGACTGCCAAAGATCATTTAAATAAAACATGGAAAGCAATTCAGGTCCACATATTTTATTTAGCCTTATTTTGATTATTGTCCGGATTTATTTTAAAGGTTATTTTTCATTTAAAATATATAGGCCTTGAAAAATGATGATAGCCTATATTGCAATCTACCTCTAGCTCCAAAGATCATAAAACAGATGATGAATTAGAAAAGCTACTGATAGCCTGTGAGTCGGAATTTAAAAAAGCTACTTCAAATGCACACAAAGAACATAACATTAGAAATATTATTGAATCGTTTGAAGGTGTTGAAAGGATCGACAAAAAATCATCAGTTTTTATATTTTGGGAATCGAAAAAATTTGAAAATCCAGAATTGTATAAACTTGCTCTTATAGCACTGGCAGTTCCAGCAACCCAAGTTTCTGTGGAAAGGGCCTTTTCAGGGCTTAAATTTGTGTTATCACCTCAACGAACAAATATGAATCCATTTATATTAGAAAATATATTACTTATACGTTCAAATAATATATTTAAAAATGAGTTATTTTGAATCATATATTTTTTTTTATTCATAATTTATATATGTGTATAATAAAAAATAAATTAGTGATGGCAAAATTTTTAATAAATTTATAATTAAAATCATTATATGATAGTGTTGCTTCAATAAAAAAAAATTTCTAACCGTAATGAACCTTTATAAACCTTTATAATTAGCTGAACCGAACCCTTATAAATTTATTTTTAAGAACTAACCAGAACGTAACCATTATAATTTTTTGAACCGTAACCAAATTCGGGTCCCTGGATACGGCACTCTTGATTTTAAATATTTAATGGGAACTTTTTTAAAATTTTAAAAATCTGATTTGATCGGAAATATATTTCAGTTCCAGAGTACTTAAACTGTGAATTTCAAAGAAATTTGCCATGAAATTAAGAACTACTCTTAATTTATAGTAATTTGTATGGATATTTTATATAAAATGTACAAAATACAAAAAAATAAGTTTATGGCAGTAATTATGAAATTCATAGGGTAGATTGTATTATTAAACAGCTCGATTTAAAACGGCTAATTTAATATTTTAGCCAAAAATATTAACACAACCTGGATATTTTGCTCATAGATGGCAGAAAGGTTTGGACATTTATTAACAAAATCTCGAGGCTTGCATAACATTTTTTTACTGAAATATTGGGTTAGCCCTTTTTAAAAATATAACTTTAACAATACTAGGGTAAATACTTTACAAATGCAGAAATACATTTCCTGGTAAATCAGATTAAAAATAAATTTTTTAAATCGCCCTCGGAAAATAATTTAAAATCGGGTCAAATCCCCATGAATTCCATATCCAAATACAACAATATCATCAAAAATGAATATAAAAAAATACTAGAAATATTAAATTAAAATAAATAGGATTAAAAAAATTTAACGGTCTGGATCAAAGACAAATGACAAAGACCGAATCAGGTGGAATATGGTTGTTAAAAATCAGTTCCGCCCGGTCCGGTTGTCAATCATTTTGGTCCCAACAGTTTCACCAACTTATACAATTGTATATTTTTTTTGAATTATAACTTCAGCATAGGCCTTCCTAAAGAAAAAATCCAATTGTTGTTGCTTTTTTTCTTTTGTTTGAGCGCCTTTGAATATAGCATCGCAATTCGTATAAATAATTTCAACATTTTTATTGATTCGATGAGCAAAGTTGACCAACTTAACACAAATAAAAAGATCCCTCAAATCGGAAGTAGCGAATTCTAGTAACTTAATTATAAAATAAAAGAAGCTACCTAATAGTCAACCGTTGAATTCAAAAAATAAAATTTGCATATTGCTATTTGTATATTCTACAAATGTAATTAATATGTTTTATGATTTCTTAGTGTTGTAAACGAACGCATTCAAGTGAAAGCGCTCCTGAATATAAAAGTGAACGGAGTTCCTTTATACATTGATTTTATAGCTTTAAAACATACCAGCTAAAGTTTCAGCATTAAAAAGATTATCATTTTTAGTTGATGAAAATTACAATCTATGTCGATTGATATTTTTATGACATAATGTCCTTGGAAAAACTGTTTATTAAAAAAGAAAATTATGATATCGCAATAGTAAACCATGAAAAAGAACAGGTATTTTGATACAACTCGGTTTACAAACACTTCATATGTTTAAAAAAAATTAAAATTATCTTTTACTAAATCGTATTTGTCAAAGCTTTTAATGAGTGCTAAATTAGGTTCAGTGGTACTAGTAGAAGTGTTAACTTCAACGACGATTTTGTTTGTCCCAAATTCACTTTTCTTTAGACATATGCCCTTTCGATTTAAAATGATGATATTCTCCTCATCCGATAGATCGACTGCTATTTTTCTGCGATGATTATCATTTAACCACTCGTAACCTTAAAAGCGATTCAATAATTTTATCATCAAAGCTTATAAATATTTTTAAAGTAATTTATGAATCAAAATAAATTTTGCTTGTATGGTTCTGTAGATTTAAATTAAAATGTACTATGTATATTCAGTTCCTTGAAAACTTTGGAGAACTCTTCTAAATATTTTTTGCTTATTTTGTAGAATATATTAGATATTGTAAAAAGAATAGTGAGCCTCTTCAAGCTAAAAATGCTTGGGATGTCAATGCTCAGTTCTATAAAATATTTAATATGATTTATTCTTGTAAAGTACAAAATTTGCAACTAAGGAATCTAATGAAAATAAATTAAATTTAAAAAAGAAAAATGTTATACAGCAGCGATTTGTAAAAAGAATATGGCATATAAATACTGTTAGTTGGAAATATAAAAAAATAACAAAAGAAAATAAACCTAATGTTATATCCTTGGGTATTAAGTTTGAGTAGTTACTAGCTACCGAAAAGTTTGAATATCTGGGATGGGGGCCGCCGTTAAGATGTCCTGTTGAATAAGATAGTTCACTAGACCTTCTCTTTGGTTCGAGTGTTTTAGCGTGACCATTATTTATAAACAGATGTTCTGCGTTATTCGTATAATTGTTGGTTAATTTTTCATTGGGATGCCCATTTAAACTTTTATTATCATTCTCCTCATCCGAGGTGCAATATGCCAAATTAGTTTCGTAAGAAGTTGTCAATCCATTTTGAAACGTGTCTCCTTGATTCAAATTTGTGCGTTTAAAATTTGGTATCGTAATTTCAAATCACAAAGATTTTACAAGTTTGTTTTGATATGAATCAAAATGATATTTATTATAGATAAAACATTTTTTTTAAATAAGCAAAATTATCTTTTTTCATTCACCTTTTGTTTTAACGGACTTGTGGCTCAATTTATTTCTAAGCTTTAAGCGTTCATCATTGCTAATAGTAATAGCATCTAGAAGCCTTTTTTTTCTATCACTTTGATTTTTCACAATAATATAGGCAGCTAGACCACACAGAAAGGGGGACAAACTCAAAAGGACACAAATTATAATGTAACACATTTCATTGCCTTTGAAATAATCATAAGTTTGAACAAAATCACAGCTTTCAATATCATTTGTGGTAGTTGTAATTTGTTTGGGTTGCTTGCAAGGATTACCTTTTTGTGTTAGACGATTAACATATTATAAGAATTTAATCTATTTAGTTTAATTTTCTTAAATAAATAAATCCAAAAAAGATATAAATAAATTATAAAATATTAGAAAAATATAATATTTTACCATCTTTACTTGCCAATTTTTTAATTTCTAATTTTCTAATCAACGCTTTACTTAAAAATTCCCTTTACTCAATAACTCGTTTTACTCATGCATAATAATTTTTGATTTACCTTGCACCCAATGAAACACATCCTTTTGTATGGCACGAGGGGGTATATCGGTCACATTGAGAATAATGTCGGATAATCTTATACTCTTTATGAATGCTATTTCTTCTTTCGTAAAAATTCTAGCATAGTGTATTAACAAAGTAAATTAAATCTATTCCATAATCAGAATAGGCATATTGAAAATTAACTATAACTAGCATAATATAAATGATTCATGCAATACATATTAAAAATATGAATATATTAAACCCAGTTGCCAAATTTTCAAACCAAAATCTATCGGAATCACGAATCCTCTCGAATTGTGACTTGATAATCTTTTTGAACAAAGGACCTGGTCCTTCTAGGGGAGTGGTTTCTAAGAGACCCCCTGGATACACATCTACATTATTGAGATCTTGATTGTATATTTGTGAAAAGGCTTCTAGTAACTTTTTTGAAATAATTAAAAAAAAATAAAAATTTTAGGCAATCAACTAAAATAATTGTTTATTAAATTCACTGTATCGGCGTAAAACGACTCTCTGGGACAGTCTGCAATTTATTTTTTTGCTTGGGCCACTAAAAAAGATGTTGAAATTTTGAGGCCTGTAGCCGTATTGCCTAACTCTAGAAATTGAAGATTATTCTACCAACCATCTAATATTTCTTCATAATGAAAGTATTGCATGACTTTCCGAAATTGGGAAACATTCATTTTGAAGAAATAAATAATAGTAATTTTCTCCCTTTTTAAAATCACCTACTAATTTTTTATGATTTAAAAAAAATTCTTCTTATTAATAGCAATTTTTTTAAATAGTATATTTAAAATACCAACAGCTTTTCCTAAGTCTATATACATTTTTGCAACATTTTACGACATTATTGATTTCAATAACTTTACAATGGAAGATTAGTAATAACTTTTAATAATAACTAGCATTTATCGTCTTTTTATGCTACATACAGAAAATCCCATCATGAGGTGTATTTTTTTTACGAATATCGAGTATTTGATTGGATTAATTTCAATACTAGATTTATATAATTAACAGCATAATGGATATAATCAGCTTTGGCTCTATCTCCTTAATTTTTTAATGTAAACTCATTATAGACCTCGCTCATATTAGGAGCTTAGTCATATCAATACTTTGGCGATATTTTTTCTTGTTAATTTTGCATTTCTCTATTAATCATTGTATTTGATCCGTTTTGGAGGGAAATAATTTTGATGAGTTCAAAATCATGGATTATTTTTTTTTTATTTTCTTAAAATTATTAATTAACCAGATTATAATAATTAATCAATCCTTTTATATATTATATTTTAACTTTTAACTGTTATAAATTATAGCTGAATTTTTTTTTTTTGGATTTAAAGGTATTGATTGCGTCATAACTCCCCTCTCCATGATGGAAGCTTGTGTAAGATTACCCCAAAAATATAAAAAATGGTGTTTATTGTCATTATGTTTCTTCCTAATTCAATACAAAGCTAATTATTTATATAAAAAATATTTAAAAAAAAATTTATCATGATATAAGTCTATAATAGGGTCATGCATTGGATCTAATTTTTCAGGTGATAAAAAAATGAAATATCCTACTGATTTAACAACATTTCTAAGGATTCTGTGAAAAAATTATTGATTGAGGAAAAGGTACGATTCTATGGAAGGTATATGAGAATTATAAGCAGTATAGGAAGGTCAATTTTTTGGTTTCTTAATGAATATATATAAAAACATTTAGAAAGCAATATGATTCAAAATTTCCCGAGGTCCAAGTCAGAATAGAATATTTAAAATTAGACTCAATCTTAAAGTTAGACCGATTACAATGCACACAGAGCTCTAGTTTACAACCTCGGGTTCCTTCTCATATATTTCGGGATTAATCGCACTCCAATTTGTTATTCGAGGTAGCCCTAACGAGTCTCTGATTGTGTTATAATCCGCTAAACCGTTGTCACGACCCCTCATAATATTTAAAACGACTAAATCTTGTCTTGAAAATTCACGAGGTCCAAATAATTTTTCCCTATAATATTAAAAAATATTAAATTACTTCTGTAGTTTTTATTTTTATTAACCTTAAATCGCTAACTAAGATATGATCATCTCTTTCCGCTAATTGGGAACTCATTCCCATCAAAAGCTCTTCCATCCCGTAACGTTTGATGACGTCCTCGGCGTTCCACCAAGTATTGCACAAACGTAGAGCGTGGTATTTATCCTTATGTCCAAATTTTCTAAACTTGCACTTTTCATCTCTGATATATTAATATTAATGCATATAATATAAATTCACTAAATCTCTTACTTGATATACCCAAGAATTAAATGTATGAAATGATTAATTATTATTTTTAGATTCCTTTAAAATTATAATATAATAGGTCTTACCTGAGATATAATCCAGAAGGAATCAAGGAATGCCCATAACGAAAGGCGGTAGATTGAAATTCATGACTTATTCCAGGGTATAAGTCAGAGTTATAGCCTTTATAAGTTGATAATTCTTCTCCAATGAGAGCAGGTATATACTCATATACAATGATATTCTTAACGTTACAGAAATTATTATGTTATTATATGAATTCTGGTCAATAATTTTATGGACTAGAGTTTTTTATTATAAAAAATTATTAAATGATAAAATTATTATTTATGCCCACTAAAAACTTTATTAAATTATATATCTTTAACTTTATAAAATATTTTTTTACTTGTAATGTTGCTATGACCCACCTTCTGGAGGCAGAAAATATATCTTCATCCAACCAATTGGGATGCTGACTTTGAATATTTTTTGCAATAAAATTATGCCATTTTAAGAATAATATAGCAAAGGCTAATAAAGGTGGATTTTCGTTTACCCTTGGGTCACCTAGAACTTTTTTAAATATTATTTTGCAAGGTTTATTTTGAATGTATCTAAATATATTTGTTTTACTAAATGTTTCACTGATCGGTATTTCCTTCTTCAGATGAGGAGCATAAAAATTGAAGCTTGGAATACCTTTGGTATTTAATGTCGGAAGATTACCTCCATTAGAACTATCCAAGGTTCCATTATTCCAGGTTCTAAGAGCTTGTAACCAAACTAGCTTAGTACTATATATAAAACTACCCTCAATCCAACTCGTGACTTTATTCAGCTTTTGTAATATTTGAAAAAATAAGCAATGCAAAAATTATGATACACTATATTATGTCAATTAAGATATACTATAACATAAATGCCAAATTTGAACCTAGATATAAAATCGTAATTGAGGCTTATCAGTGGCATAGCAGGATTTTTCGGGGGAGTTTAATTTTTTAACCCCGTTTACCCGGCCTTCGGCCGAGTCTCTCCAATAAAAAATATTATATAATAGAGGTTATCCCGTAATTATTTTTATATCATCTTCGTTAAAGTTGGCTGAACAATTGGAAGTACTAATTCTAAAATATTTCAATATTTTGTTGCTTTATTAGTGTCTTACCTTAACTATCATGAGTAGTACTTTTGATTCCTCAATCTATGAGAACGACTAAAAGAAATGAGTTATAAACAAAATGAAACCTATTACGTCACACTTTATGAATGAAGTTAGCCAATTTTTGGAAAAATTTAAGTAGGGCTTTATTAGACTATTTTATCGTTTTATTCTGTTTGAAAGATGGTTTAAAGGAGAAAAGAATTATTGGTAAAAATAAAAAATTGTCAAAATTAGTATCATGCAAGAAAGGAGAATATAGATTTTATAACTTTCTGGGTTGCGTTAATATTTAGCATTTATTAATTCTTTAATCAATTTCGCCAGCAAAAAAAAAGCAACCATATTAAACCAAATAAAAACTATTATATCACACCTTAAGCGTAAAGTCATCTAAAGATATGGAAACATTATCTCTGATATTTACATCAATAATTAGTGCGTATTCGTTTAGATAGTTTAAAGAAAAAAATTATTGGAAAAATAAAAATTAATTGCCAAGATTGACATCATTTTAGAAGGAAAAGGATAGAGTATGTAAGACATAATTAGTAAACCTACTAATTCGTCAATAAAATAAAAACTACGACACGCCTTAGGCTGAGTCTTAGATATCGAATTTTAAAAACTGATTCAAAATACATTAAATAAAATAAAGTTTTACCCCGAATTAAAATATTTTTTCTTATAATCTTTACAGATGTTGCTTGTTCTTTTCTTTTCTTTTCTTTTTATTTAATAGATATTCTAACAATAGAAATTATATTATCAAATTCATAAATATCTAATTTGAACAATATAAATTATATTATTAAGATCATTTTCACGGGGGTTATGTGGGGGAAGGGTTAAACCTCACCCTTGTCTACACCACTGAGGCTTATATTAATTATAAAATTTGAAAAAAGATACAAAACGAATTAGAAAGTCTAAAATTAATTTTTTTCTAAATAAAAATTAACCCTCCATAGAATAGGTGAAAAAAAATATACCAAAAAATATTAAGCTACTAAAAGATCCCGGCAAAAATATTGAAATATTTTTGAGTAAACGTTTTTTAAATGACTGGAGTCTGCATAGTTCCACTTGTGCAAAAGAAGAGTTAATCAGTATTATCAATAAATCATGATTAGAATTTCGCTCTTTAGATTATTTTTTATAGCATACTATAAAATACATCCTATTTTTGACTTTTGGGTCGGGTCAGGAATATGGAATCAATCCTATGTTCAAGTTTAGTAAAATTTTTCGGGTTGGTTCCGGTCGTGAAAACCTTTATATGTCGGGCTGGGTAGGAAATATTTGTCTCTTGCAGGTCTCGACACTAGTTCGTTCATAAAATTTAATATGCCTCTATAAATCCATATAGAAAAATACTAAATATAAATAAAATTGAAGGCATTAGGCCCCAAAATAAAAATGGACCTTTGAGTGTTAAATATAAAAATTGTTTAAAAGAATTAAGAAGATGTGAATCGCAAGGGGGCCCACTTTTACAAGTATTCAGTAAAAAGTATTTATAGATATTTACCTGTTCTCTCGGACTATTAGGTGAACTTCCAGTATTCTTATCATATTCAGCTCTTGAAAAGGGCATATTCATGTCACTGCAATATGTAGCGTTTTGACACATCCTCACTGGTATATGATATATTTCGATAGGGCAGGAGTATTGATTCGTCATCATTATTTCGTAGGCTACTAGTTGACCTTTTTATAAATTTAAATAAAAGAAATTTATCGTACATCTGTCGAAATATGTATTATATACTATATATGTGGTGAGTTAATCCAGAATTCTCCTGCGATGATTCGAAATCTTTTAATTTTAAACCATTTACTGAAGATAATTTTTAATTTGAAAAAATTGATTTTACCGGAAATGGATTCCAACAGGCTTAAGGTATTAATCCTGTAAATTCTAGACGTAAATTTAAACTAATATTAATTTATATATTTTTTTATAATAACTAATAATTTTCCAAATTTAAAACTCAAGTAGCATGCAATATTGTAAAACAAAATTAAAAAATGAGACACGCATGTATTTAAAACAAAAATAAATACACTAATATATTTAAAAAATATTAAGAACAGACAGTGTTTCAGTTCCTACGAAATTTAGGTTGTCTCGGAACATTGTGATTAAGCCAATTGTATATTTAAAGATTCATCAACTTCAACATGATATTTAACAATTAAAAATCGTCTCGATAAATTGTTTTAAATTAAGAGATTAAGAATCACCATGGATTCCAGATTAGTTCTTATTCTAAATTAAATTACCACATGTACATTAACATGTATGATTAATATATTATGATACCATTTTATACAAAAGTTTCTCTCTAAAGCATAATGTTTAATAAATCGTTATCATAAAAAAATCTATATTTTAAAATATAGAGTAATGAAGCAAATTCACGATTTAATCAACCTATTTAAAAATCTAATTATATAAAATAATTTAAAGTAAAAATTTTTAAGTGGTTGGCATACCAAAAAAGGCAAAAAGAGCTGTTAAGTTTCTTTCATTTTTTAACCCGTCCACTCCTTTGAAAATGATATCACTAACCAGTTGGGGATTAGGTCTATCTTCGCCTGGAATCTGATAAACTCCGTCTGCATAAGCTGGCGGGCTTAATCGAGTTAATTTTGAATCTTATTTTATTCAAGAATTTAATTTATAAATTTATATTTTTCTAACTTTTATTACATGTCAATAATACATTTCTTTTATTCTATAATTTCAATTTACTGCTAGTGACTACTAAAATTGCCCGGATATTTTTATAATATAATTTTTAATTTTTATAAGTAATATAAGTAATAATGGCGATTTAAAAAAAATATATTTAGGGCCCAGCCCGGATCGGGTATATTTTATATGGCCCGGCCCGTGCAGGTTTCTGACATACATATCAAAAAAAAATTTCGCCAACCAATGAGCACATGAGTCTTGAAATTCTATCCTTTAAAAATATATTAAAATTTTTTAATCAAAAGTATGCTTCAAGAAAATTAAATTTTTTTTGTTCGATGGCTCATGTGTGAATTTTATATCATAAAATCATCTATTAATATTTTTATATATTATATTTTATCATGATTAAAAATTAAGGGTGTCGGGCCGAATAAGACATTTATATCAATTAAATATAAAAATTGGCATTTAATCAAACATTTACCATCAAATATTATGCTTCATTTTAAATAAATTTAAAAAATAATTTACCAAAAAGTATATCATATACATTACATTCGATATATCTTATAGCCAGCCCCAATTTGACGCAAGATATAATGTTTTTAGTAATTTATAGATTTTATAAGAATTTTTACGAAATCCGGTCTGTTTAACCCGATTTCCCCTATAACCATCTTACTATTATAATTAAAAAAATACAATTACGCATTATTAAATCTTCTCATAAATATTTTTAAAAGTAAAAAAATTAACCCGTAACTTGTGGTTAATTTTCAAAAATAACAAATGCCCCCTCACCCCCCCCCCCACCCTTCTACGCCTCAGGGAAGGTAGATATCTATTAATGATGCTATTTCATGGTACTTATAATTAAAAAGCTTGCACTATTGTTTTTAATATAGGAAAATTAAAATGTCATTAGCGTAAAATAAAAATTATAAAAGAATTATAAAAATTTGGGGAAAAAACAAATATTATTCTATGATTTAAGCATAAAACATTATAAATTAATGATAAAGGCTCTATAAAAATATAATGTTTAATATGCACATTGAATGTACATAATTAGCATATAATTACCGGCAGAACCCCAATTTGGATGCTGAAGGTTGTTGTACCAACCGTCAAGTCTTTGAATAGTATCCTGATCAAAACCTTGAATTAAATTAATCGATTTTATTATTATTGTATTGAGTAGTATAATGGAATGATATATATTATGTTGTCATTTTCAATCAATTTAATTATTTTAAAATAAACACTGACATTTTATTTTATAATTAATCAATTTCACAATAAAAAATATATTAAAAATCGCTCATTCTATAAAAATGGAATTGGGAATACTAGTTCCCCCAAAACACCAATAATTGTATTTTAAAATAGTATAATTTGAATTTTTTGTTTTAAAAAATATAATTTCCTAGGTTCTAATGTAAGGGTTAATATTTTCCCGCCTTTTTTATTTAAATGCAAAGCTCCACTTGAGATATTTATTTTCAATTTTAAAGCCTTTATTCCTAAATAAAACATCTTTATGACTTTAAAACTAATATAAATGGATTCCGGTAACTCATTCTTAAAATACGGTCAGCCTTCAAATACAAAGGATAATCTAACATTTAGAATATAATGGATCAAATGAATTAAATTATATTGTAATATAAATGAGATAAAAGATGATAAAAAAAAATTTAACAACTTAGATATGAATTTATCGCCCGGGCTCATTGATAAAATGGTATTTAGGATTAAGAAAAATGTAACAATTTAAAATTATTCCATCTTTATTAACAATATAATATATTGTGTTTAAAATATTATTTTATTTTCGGCAAACCATTGTATATAAAGAGATATATAAAATCTTTTTAAAATTTATTTTAGCAAATTTAAGTGAATTTAAAATTTTTATAATCAAAGAAATATTTATGTACATAATATCAATTTCATAATTATAGCCCGGATTCGACCTTGTTAGGTCTCATAAGTATAAAAGTATTGCACAACCACTCCTGATATCACAGTATCTAATATACAGTTTTTTAATTGAATAAATTTTAATTAATATATAATGTTAGACCTATTATACTTATTTTGGGGTTAAATTATAGGGATATTAAATTATTTTTTTAAGATAAAGCGTTAGTTTGACGAATAAAAAAAAATAGACATACTAATTACCACACATTTTTCAATTTTTTTAAATATAACGTGATATATGAAGGCATGCGATTAAAGCATGGCCTTTAACCATAACAACTTCAAAAAACAATACCTACTTATACCGGAGATACAAACAAAGTATTTCTTGTCTTGATAAGAATACATATCCCCCCCCTTCCCCATATTAGATGTACTCTATTGAATATTATGAAATCGAGCAGCAAATGTCACATCGACCCGAGGTACTTTGATGTCACAATAACCGATGAATCAACAGCCATAAAAGATAATGAGAGTTTCCCCTAAATTTCTAAAACATAAACAATGTGTAACTTTTTTTTAGTGACATAGTGTCCTTTTCAAAGTGACCTTTTTCAAAAACATAGCTTTCTTTTATCGACGAAAGAGCATCGAAAAATGATGTGCTTTAAAAAAGGTACCATATGACTAAAAGAACTATATAAATATTTGTTATAAATAAGAGTAAAAAGAATGTAACTCGGAAGCGATGAATATCGCCAAAAATATGCCATTAGGCCTTGTATTGTAATGAATAAAGCCTTTTTACTGACGACCTCTATTATTGTCTAAATAAAATAAACCTGCTTGCCTCTAGTGCTTTTGGGTAAAAATCTTGATCCCACCCATTTTAAAGAAATTGTATCCTAATATAATATAATTGATTGGATTCTCTATGATTATTTTATTCTAATATATTTTTTTGCTTAATTCAAACTTACAAATTTTGCAAGAATTTTTTACACAAGCAATTATATAATAAATAATAGGGGAGACCGGGGTAAAGCGATTGACGGGGTAACAATGTTAACGCGAATAACTTTTTAACCATTGAGTATAAAGACCTTAAATTTGGTGTGAAGATGTATTTTTATATCTAATTTCTTACCTATGTTCATCTTTTAAAAAACTTACCTGGTTTTATATATTTTGTCAAAAAACTGTTTTTTATCCAAAAAATATAAAAATCAATCTCTAGTATATTTTGCTTTTAGTAAAATTTACATATCCTCAGGATTCAAAATTTGGCACACATGTTCCTTAATGTATTAACTATAAAATAAAATTTATCTGACATCTTTAGCTATATTAGAAGTCACGCAATAACGATATATATAATATATGTCACCTAGGGGTAAAGCTGTTATGGGTAAAACGGTTAAAATATAAAATTATTCACATTAAATTTTTCATTCATTCATTTATTATAATCAAATAAATATTGATATTTAATATTAAAGTTACCAATTGAGCATTATTAAAATTATGAAATTAATTCAATTTATTTAATTAATTATATATCATTTTAACTCTATGGAATTGGTATTGTTAATTATTAAAATGAAATTGTTTTATTTTATAAATAAACAAGATAAGAGGATTTGCATATCAGCTTGCTAAAGAATATGACAAATCTTTCCCAGAAAGCTGGACAACTAATGGTATGGCTGGAGGGGACTGGTTTATGGGGTTTAGAAAACGACATTCCCAACTTTCGATTCGTACCCCTGAAGCTACTAGTCTAGCAAGAGCATATGGCTTCAATCCCACAAATGTCAATAAATTTTTTGAAAATTTAATTAAGCTATATAATTCTTATAACTTTGAACCACATAATATATGGAATGCAGATGAAAGTGGTTTCACCACCGTTCAAACTCCTGCAAAAATTATAGCACAGAAGGGTGCCAAACAAGTCGGCTCTATAACGTCAGGAGAAAGAGGAACGTTAGTTACAATATGTTTAGCCATCAATGCTATAGGGCATAGCATTCCACCATTTTTTATTTTTCCAAGAAATAGATACAAAGATCACTTTATTCGTGATGGGCCTATTGGATCTAAGGGTGTGGGAAACGCATCGGGTTGGATGCAAGAGGAGGAATTTTTATCTTTTTTGGAACACTTTAAAAAATATTCTAGTGCATCCAACGAGAAAAATGTCTTATTAAACTTAGATAACCATAGCTCTCATTGTTCAATTTCCGTTATAAACTATTGTCGCTCCAATGGGATTGTTATTCTAACACTTCCACCACATTGCTCGCATAAACTCCAACCATTAGACAAAGCAGTTTATGGGCCATTGAAAAAGTTTTATAATGGAGCTATTGACACATGGATGAGAAATCATGTGGGCAACAATTTCAGATTTATGATATTCCAGGAGTGTTAAAAAATGAAATACCAAGGGCAGTGACACCAAATAATATATTAAATGGGTTGTTAGCATGTGGCATATTTCCTTTAAACCCAAATATATTTACAGAACAAGATTATATCTGCTGTAATAATTCAAATGCTAGCTCAAATATTGAATTTGAAAATAATGATGAAAATATTACAGTGACTCAAAATCTTACAGTGACTCAAAATAACGATAGTGATTTATCTATATTATTGAAGAAAATGTTCCAGATGATATTGATGAACCTTATCATGATATGTTACCATCATGCTCAAAAAATTATAATAAAGTATTCAATCCTTCATCTATAATACCTATTCCAAAATTATTCAATATTTCATCGGATAAAATATCTAAAAAAAAGAATTCAGAAATATTAACATCTACACATTATAAAAAAAAATTATTAATTCAGAGAAAAAAAAAGATATCAAAAAATAATTGTTTATGTGTTATTTGTAATAAAAACTATAAAAATAGTCGCGAGGGCGATGAATGGCTAAAATGTACAATGTGCCTTGAATGGGCACATTCTAAATGTGCTAATTATGATAATTATTTTACATGTCCTTATTGTATCGATTAGTTTTTAAATAAAAATCATAAATAAATCTTAAATTTGTAATATTTGTTAAATAAAACAATAAATATGTGTCAAATATTATTTTAACCATACCCTAGTGCTTATCCATTTTACCCTATGAGTAGTTTTACATAACTCATAGCTATTAAAATATTATAGATAGAGGGCTACACTTTTTTTTATCTTGTAGAAGAGGGATGGGGCTACACATTGATCTATAATTTGTTGTGTTTGACTCTTGTTTAAAATTTTTATGGTAAATATGCAAAATGCCTATCGTTTTACCCCGGTCTCCCCTACATATATTCCAGCCCTGTCCATTTCGCTAGGAAAATAACTCAAGTAAACGTCTGCCCACCAATAGTTCAAAAAAGGTTTACCCCACCCATTCAATGTTTAAAATTTTTAAGCTCTCCTAATTCTTCCTCGGTTAAAACCTAGCCTGTTGCATACCTGTAAACATGATACGTAGAAAAAGAAAATTATAAGTGATTGGATACTATTTCGAAAGTATTTATCTTATAAAAAAGATTCTACTAGAATTAGACTAGAGGGTGTTTTCGTGATTTAACTATTTTAAAAAAGGATAAGATTTCTTGACTATTTTTGATATATAAAAGGAACCATTACGAAGCTATAAATTTTCACTGGGGGAGGGCACTGGGAGATTCTTCTTTACAACGTGTTGTATTTCGTCTAAACTTTAAATTCTCAAGATTAATAGTTTAATTTAATATCATTAATTTTTGGATGCATTAGGCAATATTGAGTAAATAAAAACCTTACCATATTTAGATATGAATAGAATAGATATGTATTATGTTTAATATTAGTTATTTTAAGTAAAATTTAATTCAAATCTCAAACTAACTCCCGAAACACAAAAATTTCATGATTTTATTTCCTAAGGATTAAATATATATGAAAATTATTTTTTTAATTCACTAAATAATTTTATTAATTAAAATGATATTAAATTAATAATTTTATATAGTATTATAAATTTTTGATTGCATATGTTATATTTTAACACCACATAATATTATATATTTTAAAACTAATTTATCATATGAACTAGCCAAGGTGTTGAATAGACCATATTTTCCAACCCACCTCATTAGATTTAAAGCTTTTTATTTTGCATAATTTTTAAGTAAAAATTAACAGTATAGGTATTCAATTTTTTTTCTATCTTGCGTA